TGTTGTGATAGAGACTGAAATTAAAGTATAATCCAAAGAGAGGAGGGGGGTGGGAGAGAGAGTATTCTTTAATTAAAATCAGCTACCTCAAAAGATGGGTATTCTCAGGAGTGATATTTGCAGTGTGCTGAAGGCTTTCCACTTAAACCCTGGATGATGCAAGGAAAGAGGATTCTGAAGAAGTAATATTGGCATTAGCACATAGCCACTTGCCACTGCAAGGTAAGGCGAAATTTGCAGAGCAAAATACATGGACGATAGAACGGAAAGATGGACAAAATAGGAAGTTATCTGAAACAAAACCTCATGATTATCCTGCAGTAAATGAATAGTTTGGCAAAGAAAGAGACCCAAGATAGAGACTTGGAGATACAGAAAGAAAAATTAAACCAGAAGCAGCCGAGATCAATGAAAACAATCAGCACTTTCTGCCAAGAGATATGTTAAAAAGACTGAAACTGAGGCTTTAGATAACGTGTTCAGAATGATCTGCTGTCCCACCCACCATCTCCATAGCAATTAATGGTCTCAGCCAAGGACGAATTATGGTTCCAGCCATGGAGGTTGGACAGACCCCCTGTGAAAGGCTGTAGGTGAAAGGCACAGTGTCCATTTTGGGGTCGTTCTGGTCGGTCTTGTGCAGGTAACACCTTCCTCACCTCCGGAGAGATGCTGCTTCTGACAACATGGGAACCACAGAGAGTGCACTTGAGGGGAGTACTTGTGACGAGCGTTCCACAGCGAATCCTGCTCTGTTCTCATTTTAGTTACCATCACAGATGGCTTCCTGCAATACAAAGAAGGCTCCTGGCAAGGCAGTTTGCTGGATAATGTTAGAATTGGATGTGATGGGAGTATTACCTCACAGAAACACCCATTCACCAGCATTTTTTTCATTGTGTGTTCAGCACAGCAGATTTGAGCAGCTACTTTGCACTGGCTCCCTCACACAGACACAAATCTCTCCTGCATGAATCTTGTCTAACAGCTATCTGCAACCAGGTGGTCTCTGTGAGAAGTGGTTGTGCTGCAGGGAGGAAAAGTGTATCCTCTTTTGTGCCTTCCCTTTAAAAAGCCTATGTCAGTGGTAAAGAGGAGATGCTGCTCTAATGGAGTATCTGTGGGGACCATGGGCAATGGCATGGGCAGCACCCTCCCTGCGCCCTGGGCACTCTAATGCTAGGGAGAGGATGCACATAGCTTCAGCGCCTGTAAATGTCTTGTAGATTTGCTGTATGTGATGCAAATGTTTGTTCTAGAAGGAGCTTAAACCCAAATTGTTAGTCTAGTATTGGCCACACGATATTGCAGCCAGCAGGATGGGATATGTAGCAGGGGACTTTTTAATGCCTCAGATTAAAAAACCTGTTCAAATCTTGGCTGAGTCCAGGTTTCCAAAGAGCTGTTGTGGATTCAGGACAATTTTCAGTTCAAGCAGAAGGGCTGGCTAATCATTAAAATACATTATACGGGTAATCTGGCTGTTAGTCCCAGACCTTTAAAGGTATTTTAATACCCATAGTAGTCTAAGTGGTAAAATGGCTTAACCCAACTTGGCATTAGCTACCAGCATCTCTTGGAAGGAAGAATTTGTGGCAGTAAAGGAGCAAGACCTTCTTGGTGATGTTACACTGGTAAATAATGGATCATATTGAGCTGAGTTACAAGTTCCCAACGTTACGGTTTCTAATAGCAGCTCTCATCACTCCTCATTTGCCCAATCCCACCAGCGCTGCTCAAACGGGAGCAAAGAGCCCCTCTGAGCGCACAGGGCTGGGTGTTTCATGGGAGAAGTACTGGAAGTCCAGTGCTGGTGGTACATGCTGGCGAGGAGTATTCACATATTAACAGATTTCCACTCAAACTGGCAAATAGGAATGTCTCTGTTAGCGATGCTGTGTGAAAGCCAAGGCAACAAAAGTCAAAATGTGCATATGAGAATATGTGGTACACACAGTATATGTCACAATGTTTACCATCACTTCAAAACATGCACCCGCCCACAGTTCTTCACTAGCAGCATCCTGGAACTTCTCCAATTGGGATTTGCTATATGAAGCAAAAGTCAATTAAAATCAGCCATTATTGTACAGATCATGAGATCCATAGTACCAGATACCATACTCATCCCAGATGCTCATTAATAGCAGTGTGTTGCAAACAAGTCCAGGACAATTGCATGGGGGTTGTATACTTTTCTGATTGCCGTGTTTGCTCAGTTAGCAGATAGTGTTTTCAGATGGGTTGGATTGCATATTCTAGCAAATACCAAATTCCCCGGTTCTGTCGCATTCTGGAGCTCTTGCAAATGTAGGTCAGAATCTGTAAGTAGGTTTAGCTAATGGAAACAGAAAGACTTTGGTTTAAGGAAATCATGTCTACCCCGCTTGCTAGAGGAAGACCTGTTAGCATCAGCTCACCCACCTTCTTGTACCAAAGAGCCTGCTGCTGTTCGAGGTGTGGTGACTCATTTCTTCATCACACGAATCCTACATTTTTAGCTCGGCAAGTAACCACCTGCTAAAAGCATGGTGTGCTTGGTTGGGTTCCCTCAGTTGCTTGTGGAGCTCTTCCATGTGAAGGAAATGTGGTATTTCAGGGAGGAAGATTGCGTAGTCTCATGTTCAGCAGCTCGCAGACTTGTACAAATCCAAAAGCCCCATTCCTGACACACTTTTCCTAGTGAGGAAACAGCATTTACTGGCCCAGTTCAGAGAAACCCCAACACAAGAGGGACATGGAGCTGTTGGAGCGAGTCCAGAAGAGGCCACGGAGGTGTTGCGAGGGCTGGAGCAGCTCTGCTCTGGAGCCAGGCTGAGAGAGCTGGGCTGAGTCAGTCTGGAGAAGAGAAGGCTCCTGGAGGGGAGACCTGAGAGCAGCTCCAGTGCCTGAAGGGGCTGCAGGAAACCTGGAGAGGGGCTTGGGACAAGGGATGTAGGGACAGGCCAAGGGGAATGGCTTTAACCTGCCAGAGGGGAGACTGAGCTGAGCTCTTAGGCAGAAGCTCTTCCCTGTGAGGGTGCTGAGGCACAGGGTGCCCAGAGAAGCTGTGGCTGCCCCATCCCTGGCAGTGTTCAAGGCCAGGTTGGACACAGGGGCTTGGAGCAAGCTGCTCTAGTGGAAGGTGTCCCTGCCCATGGCAGGGGTTGGAGCTGGATGGGCTTTGAGGACCCTTCCAACCCAAACCAGATTCTGAGACTGGCCTTTAGCTGAGATCCTTCTGCTGGGTGACTGGAGGCTCCCAGTCCTTCAGACAGAGCCAAGCACTAGCACAGATCACCCAGCTCCCAGGCAGGGCCTTACCAGAATTGCTGACTGCCCCTTTGTTTCCTGCTTGGAAGCGAAACACTGGCAGTTTTTTGATTGAATCAAACTTTCCCTCCATATGAAACAAACATCTTTGTTTGGGAAGAAGGTTCCCCCACCCTTTCACACACACAAATGTGCACACTCACTTTTAGGGCCAATTTATAAACCAAAAACTCTGCAATTAGCACAGTTTCATTTGCAATTAGCAGGGATGAGTTGTTTGCTTTAGTGCCAGTATTAGTAGCGATGGAAGTACACTTGCTCTTTTTGGTTTTAAATCGTTTACTGCCTCTTTACATTTAGTTTCAAGGTGAGACCAGTGTCTGGAAGCATACTGTAAATTATGCTGTTATCATTTCATGAACTTCAGCAAATAATGCATTATAATTACATCAGTGATCAGAACTGGATCTGAAAATGCACGAAGGGCTGGCATCCACTGCCACTGTGTCTGACCAGACCAGGAGGGGAAAACAACAGTTCCTGGCATTTGTTTTCAGATGAGCTCCAAGTCACATTTGCAGAAGGATATGAACTGCATTCATTTCACATATACCTCATTCCTGTGGCTTTTGAGACTTGTGTCCTTGTTTCTTGTTCCCGTTTGCTTCTTCCAACAGTTCGCCTTTAAGAGAAGCTTCCCTGCCTTAAAGCCAAATGCAATGTACCCTGCCGTGATGGATTCCTTCTTTTCCCTTCCTAATTGGAGCCATTTCATCAGATCGAATTTTGACAAAGATAGTAATTGTCATCCAATTTTAAGGCAATGACAAGATCAATATGAATTCTCAGATGACAAGTATTATTACTGGGTGAGCACAAAGAAACAAAGGAAATGAAAAATCCATGTTCTAGGGTTCAAAACAGTTAGAGGCACATGCTTGCCTTGATCCACGTGTGTGTGAATCCTATCGACAACAATAGATGCTGTGCATGTGGATGGATGGGGTAGAACAGATGGCCTTTCCCAGTCAAATAACGAAGGGAATGAGCACCCAGCGCTTTAGTACATCGCTGTTGCAGTAATGTGGGAGTCAATTAACTTACCACCAAACAGGCTTAGAGGGAAAATTACCCACAGCCCCATCTCAGAGAGTTCTGCTTCTCCTTAACATTTTGTACTCCTTCTGTTTCCTGAATGTCAGGAGTAAATACCCAAGAAAATCCCGGTTCTTTAAGGTAAATGTATTCAACTTTGATTTATGGAGGCAGAAGTACTTGATTATTTTTATAACGTTGTTTAAATGAGATGAGCTGGTAAGTTAATGGCCTGAAGAGTTCAGAGAAGGTTCAAACAAGGATCTGAAATGCATTGCAGCACCTTTAGAGGTTTTTCCCCACCATAGTGGTTTTGGGACTGATTCTTCCACTGGTGCTAGGTACTGTCATTTTATTTAGGAGGTTTACCCTCTTAACGATGCACTTTTGCAAGGCATTTGACCCTCAGAGATCTGCTCTTGTTTCACATTTGCTCCTCAGTGTGCATTCAGGTTACCTCTGCAAGGCCACTCTGCACACATTCGTCTTGCTGTTAAAACCAGACCTCCTTCTTTCCAACTCTCAAAATGCTAAATACAAGGAAACAGACCTTTATTCCCCACTATTTCTATTCAAAATGCAGTTTAACTGAGGAAAGGGGTCTTGGCAAAATAATAATACATGATTGTCGTACTAATTGGCAGCTGCAATGATAACAACCATGACAAGTTTTAGCGTTGTCCACTTCAACCCAGCCAAGTCATTAAAGGTTTCCAAAGGAGAGGATTGTGTTATGAAGCTGAATATACAGTGGCTGCTCCACTGGTATCCCTGGATTGCTACACAGGTTTTTAACCACGCAAGCACAGGTTCAGCAGGATTTTGATCCATGGACGAAGGTCTCAGCTAAGCACTGAAAAGATGTTTGTTACCCTCCAAAAATAGAAATAAAATATTTACAAAGAGAATAATTGACTTTTGCTGTTTACTGCAGGCGATGGTTAAGCAGGCAGTGTCTGTACTGAGCAATGCAGTGACCACCTGCCACAAATGCTGTGATATTTGACAGATCCCTTTCTGCCAAGAACTATAATTCCTATTTAAATCTAAATAGAGGAGCCATGAATGCAGATTTCTCATCACAAAGACACTGGTGTTAATCCCCGGTACAGAAAAATAAGAAAAGCCAGAACGTTTTATTGGATTTTATATGGAAGATAATTAAACAGTATTTCTTCTTTACTTGTTATACGGCATACCATCAACATTCCTGCTGAAATCTGTTTAGAAAGAAAGCCAGGAAGTTCTATTGCATTTTTATGCAGAAGAAAAGTCGCATTTTGTATACTTGAACTTACATTAAAATAACAAAAAGTGGGTAAACATAAAATGACCAATGAATGGTGAAAACAAACAGAACAAGTAAGGGAAGCATAACACTATTCTCATGCGCTCGGCTTTATATTCTAAGCATGCAAACTACAGAAATGTTGATGTGCCTATGTATGCATTGTATATATTCATGCACTGAGCAGGTCTGAAAGCTGAAACTCCCCAAAGTTAGGGAGCACTGGAATTAGATGTGCTTGCACACCCTTAATTTGGCCTTTTTGACTGTATACACATGGATGTATTCCCCCCCCCCCCCCCAAAATGGTGCAGTGTAGGCAGAAAATTGGCTGGGAGAATGATGTAATCTCTGCGAGAGCTGCTTTGCAGAAGCCTGTTTCTCTCCTGCCCACAAGCCAGTTTGGTATTTTGGATGTACCCAAGGAAGTTCTCTGAGCATGTTTCCCAGCAGGTGGGTGCTGCCAATCCGAGGCTGCAAGAGAATGTGTCGAAGTGTGCATTTAAAGCGTGCTTATTAACAGAGGGGAGGCGGGAGCCGTAGCCAAGGTTGCATCCTCGGCATTTAGAAACGATTCGGTTCAGCCTGCGCTGCCATTTACTGCATTATGTGATGCATGTGGATTTTCCCAACAAAAGATGTTTATGAGAGGAGTGTATTTTAAGTTCCTTTTCACGACTGTACCAGAACCCCCCCTCCAAGCAGATGGCCTGACAGTTGCGAGAAAACTATTCGTAAGCCAAAAGTAGCATTTAAAATGCTTTTTAAGAGACGGTTCCTTCTCTGTAGACATGTTCATTTTAAGCAGGTACTAATTCTGGCCGCAGCAGCACCTTCCCTGCTTCCCAGCGCATTCCAGAGCCGACAGCACAAACTGAGGAGGCGCGGGCTGAGGAAGCGCAGCCCCCAGCAGTGCCAGCAGCGTGGCACAGGGATGCCGTGTCACATCACCACCCCGATCCCTGCTCTCCGAGGCTGCTGTCAGCACTGCTTGGGGCAGAGGGGACTGTGCTCGCTGCTAGCGTGGGGTGATACTGGAGGTGCAACAGTGTTGGAGTACAACAGTTTCAAAACAGGCTATATCCACAATGAAAAATGTTTACTTAGCATTTACAAGTGGGTAGAAACAAGCAGGATTAGCAACAAACTTGCCAAGGACATGAATATGTTTAATTCCATTTTCATTCACAGCCTTGACTGTTACCTCACTGAAGTTGAAGTTCTCTGGGGGAAAACAACTCGCTGAGAATGAAATAACTAAACCTGAGCCACTTGACCATTGCTAAGTTTATGTATTCTGGGAGAAATCTATTGGCAATACTGACTTCATACAGCTGCATTTACTGACCCTTTTAATTGCCTTCTACAGAACCTCCTGCTTGAAGGAAGAAAGCACTCCCATATCATACACTTGATAAATAAATAATGCCATTCCTCTGGAGACAAAAATTCCATCTCTTAATCCAAGCACAAGGACAGGGACTGACAGTCCTTACAATCTGGGGAGATTAGTTGTGCTTTTCCTTCACCTCAGTAACTGAGACTTATTATTTGTAGCATCTGAAACATTTAGAAACACTCCTGAAAAATTAGCCTAATATCCCGCAGCGATGAGTTGTGGGGTTGATTATTCACTGCACAAATGCTTTCAGAGTTTTTCCTTCACCTTTCCGTGCATATTTGTTCTGGAGAGAAAACAGAATAAATAGCTCCTTCTCCCTGCTTCTGTTATATCATCTTTTACTCCCGTGTTTTGCAAACTAAACAATGCTTGTCTCTTTAATCACCTTTTAGATGGAAGCCTCTTTCCTCGTGTGTTTAATCATTTTTGCTGTACTGTTTCTTACTGCAGAAGTATATACATGTGAGCATGCACACAATCAAAAAGTCTGCTAAGAACAGGTTTTAAGGCTTAGCAGAGGTTTGCTCTTTGCTCCCAAATCAATCCCTGTTCATCTCATTCTAAATTCACCTTAAGCAACAGGGTCCCCCCCAGTGCCAGTGCCAAGATGTGTGTGCAGATGTGCAAGTTTAGAAGTGAGGAGCAGGACAGAGAGGGCAGGAAGACCTCATCTCGCATTCAGCAGTGCGGTCACCAGGCCAGGCCTGACTTGCTGCAGAAATGAAGGCAGAGACCAACACGGGTAAGAAATTGTTTCTTCTGTGTGAGGAATGAGCTTTCTGAAGCCTAAACCTTTCAGACATGACAATTTGTAGATGATGCCGTTTCATCTTCCTGAGGCTAACCTTTATTCCAGTCTGCCTTTGTCCTTCACCCACACTGTGCAGCATTGCAATCTCTCTTTGAACAGTGATAATAAGTTCAGATCCAGTGCTACAGCTCTGCTTGGCCCAAAAGGGAACATGAAGGAGAAATGAGAAGCTGGTGAAAAGCCTCAGGGAGAAACAGGCTCTCTGGGTGGGACCGTCATCCTCACAGAGGTGCAGTCAAGCAGTTGTTATTTTCTTTTGGCAGCCTTTGGTTTCTGTGCTATAGATTTTCTCTCATTTCTTTCTGCACCCAGAATGCTCTGTGTGTTATAAAGGCCAAACTTTTGCTGGGGAGAACCAGTGCGCGCTGGGAACGGTCTATGTGTCCATAGATGTGCACGTAGATGCGTGTAGATGCACACATCCGTGTACGCAGAAGCCTAAGCCCCAGAACATTTTGGGTAGGATCCTCCTCATCTAATTTTAGCTTTCTGAAGCTTGATTATCTAGTCCAACCTTGTGGCTTAACCTTCTTCCGCAGGCAACAGAGAGAGGAGTCAGTTCATCCCATCATAAAGTAGGGGTATGAGATAGAAGGGATGCCTTCTGCCATAGAAGTACCTCTGCTGCCTTTGGCACAGAATTGGTCCAGTGCTCAGGTAGGTGTTTCCCTTCACAGGCTGCAGAGCTGTGTAACTAGAAAGACCCCAAAGTACTTGCTCACAGATCCTGCTCCTTGGGCCAGTTAAGTTGCTGTTATTGATCTTGGTATGAGCACCAGAGAGCTCTGGGGTACAGGAGGCTCTTACAGACTCAGGCTGCCTTACAACAGTGGCTGGAAAGAGTGATTATGGGCAGTGCTGTTACAGACCTCATGCCAATCATGCTACATCAATAAGCAGTTAGATTTATATTTACAACAGTGATAGTTGGTTACTAAATAAATTTTGCCATGTTCGAATTGGGGGAGAGGAAGAGAGGGTTGTGGTTTCTTTCCTCATATAGTTATAGTTTCTCTCTGGAAACCTCTTTAAAAAACAAAGTTAAGGTGCTGAACTCTCCTTTTGGTCTTGAAATCAAATCAGCTCTGCCTTGTCCTTGGCAAGTTCTTTGTTAATCCTGTTTGTGTATTTTAAATGCTGTGCAAACATTTTCATTGTGGATTAATGCACTCTTTCAAAGCAGTTGAGATTTTAAGATTGTCATTAATTCAGAGAGACTTCCGTTACTATTCTAGTTCTTTTGGAAACTAATTTCATACAATGCCCTTTTTGAGGCTTTGCTCTGGAGTGCTCAATGAATACTATCAAAGGCCGTATTAGAGACGATTGTATGTAGTTGACCAGGGTTCATACCAGTGACTAGTTTTAGATAGCGTCTTACATTGAAAACACGATTCTTCAATTATACCTCCTATTGCAAAAATGAAATTACCTTGAATGCTTGGTCTAGTAGGCTTATTTCTTTGAATACAATAGTAAATGGTCAAATTCTTCTTCACAGTAAAGCGTATCTGATTAAAAAATGAAAGAAAGAGAGAGAGAAAAAAATGTGAGAAGCAAAGTCAGTTGTAAGCGCCCTGAGATCAGTAAAAGGACAGATCGTACAAAGATTCTCCATTTGCGAAGCCCCAGTAATTCCAGGACTGTCTGAATGCTTCAAGTAGGAAGCGTCTAAAGTGCCTAATGTTCTGCTGGCTGATTCAGGACACTGCAAGGAGGGGTCAGAGGGCCCAAGCGAGTATGCAGAAGCTCTTAAACACATTCACACTTTTCACAGATAGTAATCAAAGTGATTTGCAAATGCATCTTAGCAAAACTTAACATCTTTGAGATCACAGTTGTAAAAAATAACTGATACAATTAGGGGACTGAATCTATGTTTGGTGGGTCTGCAGCAATTCACATTTATTACATTTCTAAGTGTTTTCTTGTCTGCTTTCCCAAGTCATAATGTACATCTGATTTATTTGGCGAATAATAGTGATTTGCAGCCCTTCCCTGTTCTTTTTTTTATATCTTACAATCTGTGCAGATGTTTTAGGAGTGACTTCACTGTGCAGGGGGTCTGACCTTGTGAGGACACACCAGCCCATGGACAGACAGTGGCTGGCAATGCTGGAAGGTTGGTCTTGACATGTACTGAATTGAGTGCCTACAGCTACAGAATACGTACACAACCTCAAGGCTACCTACTGTGGTGTTTCTAAACAGCCTGCTTTTCTAATTCCAGGATTACAGCGCTTAAAGGCACATAAGGATGATGAACAAGTGGAAAGGATCTTATGTCTTTACACCCACAGGGAGTTCCGTGCCTCTGTCCTGTTGGCATTAGTCATGTAAGCCTCTCATTCATCTACCTTGGGAAGACTGATTTGTTCAGCCTTTGGTGTTTTCATCTGGTTTTGATGTGCTAGCTGAACTAACTCAATGATTGCTTATGTGTATGAGAATTAATTAGAAATTTTGACTATATAAAGCAATCTTGTGGGCTCATGCTTCGTTAGTAGTCTAATCAGTTAGCCACTGCAATGCTAAGTGACTTAATTTGCACTGCAGATGCTCTAGCTAGAAGGCAGTGCACATTTGTGTGGAAGATGGATGCAGAATTTCATCAGCTCTTTGCATTAAATTCTTAGCATCCTCCTCTTACCTGGGTAGCATATGATGAGAGGACAGAGCACAAGGCTTCAGCATTGTGCTCCCTGCTAAAAGCTTGTCTTATGACAAAGAATCTGTTGCTTTACTTTACCAGAGAAAGATGCTGGTCCAGCTTACAGGGCATGGATGTGCACCTTGAGACTCTCGTGCATTCAGTTTCTTCAGAGCCACAGTAAAATGTTCCAAGACGAAAAGCATAACACAGGAGTGAAGTGGTTGTTTTCTTCTTTTAACTGCTCCCTTCCTTATTTCACTTGTAAAATTACTCAACTGATTCTTAGGAATACACAAAGCGCTTTGAGACCCTGAGCCACCACCTGCAGGAATCTGATTGTTTGCTAGAAAGGAATCATTTTTGTTGTCCAGAAAAGCCCTGAAGAAGACCAAGAAGCATTTCCATATTGTAGGCATTAGCAAGAAGGATTAGGCAGGCTGTAACCTTGGTCAGTCTGACTTCTACAATTATGGAAAATGACGAAGATTGCTGTTAGCTCCCATTTATCTTATGGCACAAACTTGTCCAGGATGAATCTTCTCTTTTGAAATACTTATCTCACTAAACTAGCATGTATATGAAGTGATTTCTCTTTCTTTGTTTCCCCCATCAGATTGATAATAGACTGTGTAGGAAAGTGCTGGAAAACACAAAAAGAAGTCGGAGCAATTCGAATTGTCATGGCAATATCCTCAGTTTTTCAAGAAGTTTGGTTCTGTTTAGCTAGTCACTTTAATTTTCCTTCGCTAACTTGTCTCCATTCTCTGCCATAATGATAATTCTTTCTATGACTGTCAGCCCTTTGCATTGTGACAGCTTAAATTAATGTTTTGATATTTCTCTCTTTGTAAGAATACAACAAAGAAGACAACTGCCAAGGATAGGACAGAAACTGTATGAATGTAAAACAGACATTGTGCACCAATAAAGCCAGAAGGAATAATTTTCACTTTATTGCCTTGTTAATAAGCTTTTGCACCAACTAACCCTGAACACTTTGGGTTCTATAGGCTTGTGGTGCCCTTCTGCTTCATCTGGACTGCAGTAAACTTCTTACTGGGGACCTTGGATGGTTGTGGGAATACTTCAACCCATTTAGGTCAGGAGGTTTAATATCTAAGGCAGGCTGATTCAGCCTCCAGTGCTACACTAGCTGTACATGTAAGCTCTGGTGGATTAGCTTGTTTTACAGTCATAATCATAATAGCACTTGTTCACAGCTGAAACTCTTTTGCAGACTAATATATGTTCATCTCATTTTTACATGCCACCTCTCCAAAAGTTAAGAGGATCAATAATAAGAATTCCAAGCAGAAGATGCAGGAGCCGTTGGAAGGATTTGATTTGGCACCTACAGAAGAAATGGTGGAAAAGAATTGTCTTAAGATTTTGTTGAGGTTTACACCAGTCCTTATCTAAAGTTCAAGGCCTTTTGCAGCATCATTCCTGTTCTTCATGTACTCCTCAAAAATCCCAAGCACATCTGGTATTGCCTTAAATGAAGCTTGACTTCAATGGGGGTGGTGTTTCAAAATGTTCTTTAAAACATCTTTTTGAAAAGATCTCAGCTACTGAGATGCAGTTTAATGCTTTGGCGTAGCTGAGGATTTCACTGCTATCTTCCCTCATTTTTATCATTTTCTGCCTGTTTTTCCTCTTCTGCATCCCTTCAGGACCAAACCTCACCTGGGGGATGAGGAATTTAAATGAAAGTAGAACAAAAAGAAATCAATTAATCCATTCTTTGTGGCAGAAGCCACCAGATGATGCTGTTACTCTTACAGCTTTTTAGCATGTGAGCAAGAGTTCAGTTTTTTAAGGAATGCTGCATTGTTATTTAGTTTTACAGTAATCCTCTGAGACAGGATAGCGGCAGAGTGTGTTTTCTGCTTTATTCTCTATGTGATGCAGTTCTTGGGACAAATTCCTTTCCTTGGAGTTAAATTTCAGTGCCCAGCTGGAAAGTAGTGCTTTCTGGAAGCAGTGGGGACTTTTTTGATGACTGCAGATACCACTGTCACAAGGTAAAAAAGAAGCACAAAGAAAATGGGTTTCAGTTAGGAGAAAGTCCAGATTGCTTTGTGTTCCACCAGCTCACCACCAAACCCCCTGTCACTGTACAGAAAGGAGCGAAAGTTGTCACAGAAGGAATACACTGAAGGAGTAAAGGATGCTCTGACTGCTGTGTTTGTGGTTGACCATATATAAAGCAAGCCACAAGGAGAGCACAGTTTGAATCTCAAACCATGCTTTTGACCTGTACCTCTCCCTCTTGAACAGAGTGCTGAATCCAGAAGAGCTTCAAAGAATAGATCTGAAGTGTGAGATGTACTATTTATGTTAATGGACCACAAGTGCTGAAAGCTAGGGATGAAAAATTTAGCATCAGATTTGTCAAATACTTCATTGCTGATGGGATCATTTTAGCAGGAATGACCAATGACAGTGCTTATCCATCAAACTGAAGGTTTCATATAAAAAATAAATAACAGGGGAGATGGGGCTTTTGGTGGCTGATTCACTTATGCATTTTAATTAAAAATCTTGATTGTTTGAATGCAAATGAAGCAAACCCAGAACTGCCAGTTCATTGCATCGGCACGCTTAAAATCACAGCGGCAGCAGCAGAGATTTGGTTCAGTCAGGTATAACGATGATAGGATCCTGAATGAAACACACGAAAGCTTTGCTGCATCTGCAGATCTTGCCATCGGCTATGCCTTACTCTGCTTTTACCAGTGGGAGCAACCCCCACAGCAGTCATCTGAAGACAATAAGAGCTCATGCCTCAGCCAAGCCGTTTCTGGACAGGGATCTGTTAAACTAGAAAGTTTCACTGAAGGGCTCATGTCAATGTTCAAACATTCCCAGATCTCAGCAAGGCAAGATTAAACTGTTCTGTTTATGCTAAGAGAAGCATCACGCTTCTCCTATATACCTGAGATTATCTTTGCCTTGGAATTACTAAGATTGACTGCCATTTTTTGTAAAAGAAGTTCTGTTTACTTTTTATAGATCTTACAAGGGAGAATAAGCAAGCACATGCAGAAATCAAGCAAGCACGTTACAGAGCTAATGCATCCAGGCTTTGCTAAGCCAATTAAGCAATCAAATCAAGGTCACAGCTGAGATGGACCCAACAGATCAATGAGATTGAATGCCCAAAATTAATACACTAGGAAATTAAATCAAAAGGATAAATTTGAGACTGAATTGGTTTTGTTGTCTTGGGCGGAGGGGGGGGGGCTGTTTAAGGGGAAGCTGTTTTCAGTTGCAAGCCACAGCCAGTGCTCAGCTCAGAGTGTTTTGTCTGGCCAGCACATGACGTAGGTACTCAGAGGATGTATGCGTCCATCAGATGCTTGTCCTTCCTGAGACAGACCCTCTACAGCAAAGGGTGACCCTGATCTGCTTCATTTAAGGAGGAGGTACAACCACCTTACTGCTGTCAGCAGCTCTGCTTCATTATTTCCTTCCTTAATCTCACTGCTGTAACAAGTTATTAGCTCGCTGTTTTGATTCTCCCTTTCTAGCACAGAGAAATTCTTCCCCCTAGAAGTGACATAGATGACAGCCAAATCAAGCAGTAACAGCTCTGGGGAAAAAAATAATAAATCCAGAAGAATCTCCCTAATTATACGCAAGATTTGCAGGGTTTGGTGTTTACTTTTAGGGCCCTGTATGTAGTGCTGTTTCTCCATTATAGAGTGCAAATGTGCAAGTGTGTGTTTGAGATAAGGCGGTATCATCCCGGTGTATTGAAAGGGAAATGAAAAGAAAGAGTTCAAATGCTTTGTATTTTGGGCTCTTTCACTTGTGGTGTTGACAGCAGCTGTAACAAAGTTTCAGGCTGAACACAACTTACAATTCACGTTGAGCGTCTCAGTGGCATTAGCAGAGTCAGGAAGAAGTCTTTTACCTCTTCTCCCATGAATTGTTCAGTCACAAGAAGGGACAGCTTTGTGTCCAGAAGCTGTCTGGAAACAAATGTATTCCTTCCCATCGAGACCTTCACTCCTTTAAGAGTCCTGTTCATAATTAGCTCCAGACCTTGCTGTAGGTAATGTTGCCTAGTGGAAGCCTTAAGCTATGTGGCCACCAGGATGAGTGCTCACTGCCAAGCAATGTCTGCTAGTTTAATTGCAGGCTGCTTGCCAGAGCAGAAAGAGATATGGAGGGCAGGCTGCAAAAACATACCTTTACTTTCTAGCTCACTGAAGAATATCAAGTGTACAGGGCAATAAATAACTTCAAAAATGAATTCTTTATGAGTTCTTTCAGAGCAGTTACTTCCTCACCCTACCTTGGGCACCTAATGCAGGTAAATTCCCCAAAGAAAAATGCTCCTTTATTTTAATTTCTTTTTTAACATAAGGCTAAATTTTGCTCATAATTAGAGCTTTTCTAGGTCCAGTTCAGAGTGATAGCGAGGAACTTTTGTTCTATAGGAGCAGCTTTTCCTTTGAACATATTCCAGAGAATTGGGCTGCAAGGCTTGGGTCTGCCATCCCTCGTGGGGCCATTTGTAGGGGCTTCCTTCATCCTTCATCATCAGGAAGCAATTAGCCACTCCCCAGGTCTCACCAGCCCTGTGCTCTGAAACATCCACATCAGGGATGCTGCCCAAGTCATGATGGAAGGGCACAGAAGGGAGTTTTGTTGCTGTTGGCTTGAACATCCCAATGGGCTTGTAAAGCCCGAAGGCTGGTTGCCTGTGTCATAGCCTGGTGCAGAGCATGCCAATGGCTGCTGAGGCAACTTGTGTGAGCAGCTATCCCCCAGCATGAGGGGCAGGCTGCCGAGCCAGGCCTTCTGTTTGGGCAAAACCCAGCGACGCTGCTGAATTAAAGACATAATTGAGGGTTTGGCAAAATTGCAGCGCAGCTGCCCAAGGTCATCTCCAGTGAAAGTAGCCGAGGAGGTTTACACAGAAGATGTTAATTGGATTTTCCTTCTCTCTTTAGAAAGGTTTAGAGCTATCGGATCTCCCCACACTACAAGCGGCATGAATATGTCCAATGATATTGTGAGCTGATTATTGTTCATTCTTAACGGCTTTCCATCTCCGTAACAACAGTATTAGCATTAATATTGTGCCCAGGGCTCTGAATATGTAGACTAATGGAACTCAATCAGCTCTTAAAGAACAAAGGATCCCTTTTACGTGGCACCCTGTGACAGTCAGAGGATTGGATTAGCAACTTGTCAATCCTCCTGTTTGCAGCTCTTTTTGGATGCGCTCTTGAATGCGGATAGTATGTAGAATTACATTATCTGAGAAATTAATACAAAACATGAAGGTATGTGCTATTCCCTCCTGACCTGATTATTCTAGATTATTTAACTAAGTAGCCAGCGTAGCCCCTAATTTAAGTGCTGAATTTCTACAGCAAAAATAAACCCACTATCTTTTCTCATAAAAGAAGCCCCCGAAAGAGCAAGCTCAATTGCCAATTATGCTTCTTCCATGAAATCTCTTCTATCCCCTTCAGGATAGGTTTGGGTAAAAATATAATTGCAGTGGATCAGGATGCTTAAGAAAAGATGTAAATGAAAAATGTTATGTGTTGGCATCTGATTGATCCATTTGAAAGGAAGAGAAGGGGAATGTGACGAGATGGTAAGGAGCTCATAGTTTGTTTCGAAGGAACCCGGCATTTTTAACCTGTGCAGGGTGCTGAGCTATAATTAAGAACGGCAAGTCAGTGAAAAATCTATTTAAACTCCTGACAGCTTCTCTAGATGAGCATTTTTGACATCTCCATTCACTCTGGCAAATCACTAATGTGATTTCCTTCTTTTTTTCTCCCCCCCCCCCCCCCCCCAAATTATATTTCTATTAGCTTTCTGCACATAATAACAAAGTGAAAATGATGTTGCAGCCTGGACAGGTCTTTAACTCCAAAGCTCAGTTCTTCCAATGTGCTTAATTAGCTGCCTGATGATTGTTTTAT